CTTTAACTGGCATATTCCTTATCCATGTTAGTGTGCGTTACCTTTCGTCTCACGCCTGAATTCGATGAGCAACAGTAGAAACCTGCCAAGGTTTTTTTCGTCATGCGATCCTCGAAGATTGCGTTCATTGCTGTGACTGAGTATGGAAAATGAAGCAAATCGGCCTCGCTAATCTTCCTCGATGTGTAACCACAGCTCCAATATATCAAACACTAACATATTTATAATTATAACTGTCATCGCGTTCATCATCTCCCAAAGGTAAGGAAGAAGAAGAGGGGGCCATTTCATGGACCAAATTGTATTTGAAGTGACGTTTCGAAAACTTTCTCGCTTCCATCGTCAGAGTTTATTAGAGTCAGGTGGTCTTGAGACCACATGACATATCTGGACCCCGAATCTTTCGGCATTTAAATTATAACTGTCGATGAATTATCTTTTATATAAAGAAAGAACCGCAGAGGACCTAGCATGGTACGTTGAAGGACACCGCACCGGTAGGAGAATAATATGAGGACCCCACCAAGAACTGTTCTCTTCGATTAGATAAGTCTGATCTTAAAATGTCCAGTTTAGCTAGAAGTAGTCTATGAGGCAGTTTACCCAATGCTTTACCATGATTAAAGGGGGTTATCACTACAGATCGATTATCCTTACGAAGAGAAGTTAGTAGATTTAGTAAATACATGTGACATGTTTCACAAAAGCGGTCTAATAAATAGCCATGTTGGTAAGCGCTGAGATCTTGATTGTTTATGCAATTGTTTATAAGTCAGTTTAAGTCAGTTTATCAAAGGAAGAATACTTTCGCCCTTGAGATCCCTATTCATAACCAAAAACCGCAAAAGAGTTAAACCATAACAATAGAACGTAATACAAATTTAGGCTTAACATCAGCGATTAGTGTGAGCCTGTTGCAAGGTGCTGCTACTGACACTATGTTCATTATGTTGGATAAGTGAAGTAAGTTGCTCATTATATCTGTCTCAATTTCTCAGCAAATGAGAATCCAGTTTTTCTTTAAAAATG